TAAGACTGGGGGGCCATTAAAGGTCATGTGCGTGGAAAGGCAGGAGGCCAATACTTTTGGCAATATAGTGTAACAGAACAAACTTTTTTTTTTCGTTTAATCAGCACAGTATTCATTTAAAAAAAAAATCGAGTGAACAGGACTGCGCATGCTTGGAAACTAAAGAATCCAATCCAATATGTATTGGATGTATTCTGTCTTACTGTAGAAGATTTTTGGTAACTTTAGTAACCGATTTGTTTTTTTAATAGACTAGCATGCAAAAAAAAATGGACGATCGATTATCCGATGTTCTCATCATGTGTACCAGCTTTAAAGTGGTAGTAAACTTTCTAAAGAAAAAATCCTCCTGCAAGGTAGTGTCATAATGTTCTAGTATGCATCGTATACTAGCACATTATGAAATACTTACCTTAGAACGAAGTCTTCCAACGCAGCACTGTCACCGCTGAAAGGACTTCCATCTTCACCTGATCTGCCTTCAGGGTTTGCACGCTGTGGCTGTTTGAATGGCCATGAGGACACCACTCCCATACATGTGCATGGGAGTCACAACTGCAGCATGGAGCTCTCAAGGGACAACGTGAGTATGCCATCCCTTCAGAACATGTGCGCTGGTGACGGCACCGGGTCCACAAAACAGAGTGGTGCACATGTAGGAGATATTCCTTGTACCTACAGGTAAGCTTTATTTCACGCTCACCTGCGGGTACAAGTGCACTGGTGGTATTTACTGCTGCTTTATGAACCCCGGTGCTGCAAGGCAGAAGTGCTAATCACTTAGGCTGCATTTACACTGGTGTGCTGCAGTTTGACCACCGCGAGATTGTTTTACACACAGTTCCTATTGACTTCTATTAGACTGGGCGTTTTCTGAAAGGGCATCAAAAATGCAGCATGCAGGACTTTCCTGAAAACTCATGGTCTAGTACAGGGGTAGTCAACCTGTGGCTCTGTAGCTGTTGTGGAACTACATTTCCCATGAGGCATTGCAAAGATTACAAAACTGACAGTTACAGCTATGACTTGCAGAGGCATGATGGAACTTGTAGTCCTCTCAGGTTGCCTACCCCTTGTCTAGTAGAAGTAAATGGGATCATGCCTAAAACCCTAATACAATAACGGCAGTACACTGGTGTGAACTAGCTCTAAGCCACTGAACAATCCTATATTGATAGACACGTTATTGATTGTAGTTTTGGGGATAAGGCAGATCCATTTATAAGTGGCAGTGATAGCATCTGCAGACTATCTGCTCAGTTCAATAATCCATTATAATGTCCACCTCCTGGGGTGTGTCCCCATGTGATCGAAGCTTTATAATTATTAATACACATTACATTGTCTTTAATAAAAAAGAAGACGGAGAATCCCTTTAGCTCCCACCAATGACATTACTGCAGTGTTGTCAGATTTGTGGCTCTGTGAAGGTGATTGGATAGTAGTACCATTGGCTGGTAAGTCTCACTGATGAATCTGTGCAAGTCCATCCAATCAGGGGTTAGCATTTCTATTCAACAGTACAAAAAATGGCAACTGCCCCAGTCTATAACCGGCCTTCACAGCAAGGAGCACATGGAAGAGCGACGCATGTCAAACAACAAAAGACAAAAGTTCCCAGCTCAACTTGCCAACCAGCCTGCAAACAAACCAAATTAACTTGTCTAACAGTATGCGGTAAAAACAGGGGTTTAGTTAGCACACATCTGCAAATACATGCGTAAGCTACAGAGCCTCATCGGGTTAGCATTTCTATTGGTTCCCCCAATTGGGCCGATGATCAGTTTCCACTTTGGTAACCACCGTCACCATTTTTTGTGGAATTGCTTCGCTTATTATACTGTTTGTGCATTTGTGTTATTTATTACCGGCATCGTTGGCTCTGCCACAGTCTGGATTTAAAGTCAAACTAAAGCCAAAAGTATTATAGAATTTTGGATGTATGCTCAGAAAAAGTAATTACTCCTGTGGAGTTTTCATTGTTCTCTATGACACTGGGGAGATTTTACCTCAATTCCTGTCCCTGACAGGAAATGGAGGCGTGGTTGTCACCGTGACCAGAAGACACAGATAGTAATAATAATGAAAAATTCTCCACTATTGTGCTGAGAAAACCCAGTTTTCATGGATTGGCCACTCGGAAACAGAAAATGATTGATAGCATGACTGGCAGGCGTTTCATCTCCATGTAATCATCATTTCATTATAAGCTGATGGAAAATGTTATTTAGCCACAAAAAATTGTCGGCACATGTTCCAAAAAAGACTACAAAAGTGAATCCTGGCTTTGCCTCCTGACTTCTGAGATTCCCCATTGGTTCTTTACTGTGGTAGCCAATCTCACTGACCAATAGTGAAGATTAGGAGATGGGAGGGGGCAGGGCTCATGGTGACTTTTATAGGTAATGTCAAGATTTGCCTATAAATTTGCCTATGTTTTCAGACTCCTGTATGTATTTGGTGGTGTTGCCATATGTTTTTTTTTTTTTTTTTTTTTTTGGAATTGACCTCTGCCTAAGGGTAACGACACTATCATGTAATAGAAAAAAAACAAATACAAAAAAATTATATAGCAAATACAATTGCTAGACAAGCCATTTTGTAATTTAATGTTGTTAAAAATTACCTTTCCATTTCAAACTGCAGCCGCTTTAGTTTTCTGTAAAATTCAATGCAATATAGTAACCAAGCAATGGTATACAGAACGTCTATAAAAGTGTAACTTCCTGCTTGTGCGATTGGCTCACTGATTTTCTCAGAAGCCTGCACTAAGATACAAGTCATATTTTAGGCACCTCATGCAACAGGAATTTCATTTTTGGTGAGCCACTCCCTAAGGGTTAATTACTTCCAAAGGAATGTAGACATTGAACCTTTCCTTATTTGAACACTGAAAGTGCATTAGCTGAATATAATGAACCAGTCACTCCTATTCATAATCCGTATGCAAGAGACACAGCCAGGGTTGCTGTTAGAAACCACGAGGCCCCGTACAGCCAAACTGACCAGCCCCCCCCCCCCAAAAAAAAACCCCATACGCTTCAGTTATGAATGAACACAGTGAGTGATTGGTACCGATCACTTATTGTATTCATTCAAAGAAAGAAAGGGGCTGGTAAAAGTCACATATTTACCAGACCCATCTCCCACGCTCTGTCCTGTAGGATCCTATTGTGTGCTTGCAACTGCTGGTGGAAAGGAGAGGAGGGAAGCCAGCAGCACTGTGGGGGCACACAGGGGGACCTGGGCAGCACGGGGAGACGTATGGTGCACAGGAGGGTTATGGGTGAAGCAGGAGGGCAATTACTGGAACCAATCCCCTGTATGGCTCTCTCTGCAACAGCTGAAAGCCAGATTTCAGCTGCTGAAGAAACAATTGAGTACTGTCCGTGATACTTTTTTTATTTGCACTAACAAACAATTTTGAGGACAAGCTTTGGGGAGTGTCCCCTTCTTCAGGCCAAAGCAGTGCTGATCACAAAGGTTTAGCAGAATGTTAGAAGAGATGTAGGGGATGAAAAAAAAAAAAAAAAGAGAGAACAGAGATAAGACACAGCAAAAGCAGAGTCTGGGGGGGAGACAACACTCACAGAGGCAATCATGATACGGCTACAATCACCTCAAGCTGCTGAAGAGAAAGCCATGCAGGAGATCTGTTCTAGTAATTCCCCCCATCGTAGCGATCACCCTCCCGGCCCACATCTGATCCACCCAGCTTCCTGGGCCCCCTTTCTGGCCTGGGCCTTGTACAGGAGGACTAGTAGTACCCACTTATCCACGGCCCTGGACACAGCCAAACAAACATCTACATCTTCAGATAAAAAACAGGTTGGGATCTGCAACAAAGTTTCTTAAATTCCCTGTAATGTACATTGATCACCCAGAGGGGGTAGAACAGGTAGTGTAGTGTTTCTTACCTTAATGCAGGACATATTCACGGGGTTCCTGCATCTTTCTCAAGCCTCATTATATACAGGCTAGATAAAAAGGCAGGAATGCCTTGAAACGCATAGCCACACTCTCAGGATGCCCCCCATTGTCTGACATCATCCAATGGTTCCTCTGGAGTCATCTACCAACCCAGAAGTGCTCTGAGCTTCCTATTCCTACCCGGCCATCAGCAGTGCAGCCCAATCCCTGGACTGGATGCCTCTGTTACAGGGTTCCCTGGATGTCCTGATTTCTCATGCTCTACATGCCTTCACAAACTTATTTTATGTGCGTTGTCATACAATAAATGTTTTATTACTACAATTAGATGGCGCCCTCCTCTGTGTGTATTTTCATGTCCAGAAATTTCTTCCGTCTCTCTGGAGGTGCTGCATCTTGTGAAAGGAAGCTTACCATAGTCCAGGGGTAGGCAACCTGCAGCTCTCTAGTTGTTGTGGAACTACATTTCCCATGAGGCATTACAAAGATTACAAAACTGAGACAGTTACAGCTATGACTTGCAGAGGCATGATGGAACTTGTAGTCCTGAGGCTCTCACGTTGCCTACCCCTGCCATAGTCAACCCCTGACATAACTGATAAGACTGATTTATTACAAATGGATATGCATCCCAGTGTGTTTTTTCTCTGCTATAAGGAGGTTACCCATACAATACTTGCGCCATATAGATTTTTTTTTCACTTTAATGCAGGAAATGCATTAAGGCAAAAAACCTTTTGAGTTTAAAACCACTTTAAGCATACGGATTATGAATTTCCCCGTTTTGTAACAGGTTCACTTTAATAACTCTCGAAGGGAACCAATCACAAAGCATAAGACCTTTGTAAAGAGTAATCAATGCAAGCGGACATTCTCAGTCAGACTGAACACTGATTTTCAAACAATGAAGCAATCTTTCAGTTTTACTGACAATGACTCCAACTAGCATGTGGTCCAAGAGACACAGAATGTCCGTCACACTTTAAGACCACAAAGAGGTGTGTACTGGTCCTTTAAAACACAGAGAAATGTGTGGGATCCGGTGAGACCATCGAAAGTATTTCAAAAGTCTAACTACAGTCTTTTTTTGCCGTCTCTTCTGGCGTGTGCGTTTTCAGGTGGCGTCTCAGCGCCCGGCGGGTGAAGCATTTCTTACAGTTGACACAGAATCGCAGTTTGCGGTGTTTCTCTAAGGCCTGCTCTGTGTCCAGCAGTTTCCCGCACCGGCCACACTCAAACAGCGAGCTCCCCGAATGCTTCCTCATGTGTATGAGCAGGCTGCATTTATGGCCGAATGCCTGTCCGCACTCTTTGCAACAAAACGGTTTCTCACCAGTGTGGGTTCGCTGATGAATAATATACTGCGAGCGGTAATTGTACTGCAGGCCGCAGACCTCGCAGGGATAGCGCAGCTTGCCATGTTCCTTCGCTTTATGCTTTTCAAGATCGCTCTTGACATCAAAGATCTTGGTACAGTCTTCACAGCTCAGCAGAGTTTCCTCGCTGTGTGTGATTTGGTGAGTTTCCAGTTCAGCCGCGCTGTAAAAACACTTATTGCATATGCCACAACTGAGCGTTGCCTGTGAAGGTCTTTGTCTGGTGACCCAGTCCAATGCTGGGAGGTTCTGGAGAATTTTAGAATGTTCTGCCAACTCTGTGTGGTTGTGAGCGGTGTGCCACACGACACCGCCTGTATCCGAGGGCACAACCGGCTGCTCAAGAAGCTTTTTTTGGCGCCCTCTTTGCTTTTTCAGGATGGGTGTGGCAGAAGAGGAGTCATGCCTTGGCATCCAGTGAGTGGAGGTGGTGCCGTCCTCTGCTATCCACAGCATAGGGCCAGATGCATCATGGGAGTCATCTGTTGCATTCCATTCAGTGCTTACCTCTGACACAAAGAAAAAAAAATATATATTTATTTCAAGTACTTATATAGCGCCATCAATTTAAGCAGCGCTTTACATGTATATTGTACATTCACATCAGTCCCTAACCCTCAAGGGGTGTACAATCTAAAGTCCCTAACTCACATTCACCAGGGCCAATTTAGACAGGAGCCAATTAACCTACCAGCATGTCTTTGGAGTGTGGGAGGAAACAAGAGTACCCGGAGGAAACCCACACAGTTACAGGGAGAACATGCAAACTCCAGGCAGGTGGTAACACGGTTGGGATTCGAACCAGCAACCCTAGTACTGCCAGGCGGAAATGATAACCATTTAGCCACTGTGCTGCCCATAAATAATATGGTATTTTAAACAAAGATTTTAAAGTAGATATACAGTCAGGTCCATAAATATTGGGACATCGACACAATTCTAACATTTTTGGCTCTATACACCACCGCAATGGATTTGAAATGAAACGAACAAGATGTGCTTTAACTGAAGACTGTCAGCTTTAATTTGAGGGTAATTACATCCAAATCAGGTGAACGGTGTAGGAATTTACAACAGTTTGCATATGTTCCTCCCACTTGTTAAGGGACCAAAAGTAATGGGACAGTTGGCTTCTCAGCTGTTCCATGGCCAGGTGTGTGTTAGTCCCTCATTATCCCAATTACAATGAGCAGATAAAAGGTCCAGAGTTCATTTCAAGTGTGCTATTTGCATTTGGAATCTGTTGCTGTCAACTCTCAAGATGAGATCCAAAGAGCTGTCACTATCAGTGAAGCAAGCCATCATTAGGCTGAAAAAAAACAAAACAAACCCATCAGAGAGATAGCAAAAACATCAGGCGTGGCCAAAACAACTGTCCCAATATTTATGGACCTGACTGTAAATATTAACAAACCTAATAAAATGAGAAAATAAATACCAGCAGGAAGGGCTGACTTAGCTAACTTTTGCTGTAGAATATGCTGCTTCAGGTTCCCACTCCACTGCTGGTCCCATGTTTAAAGTCCTAGTCATTTGGTCAGGTGATCTCTGGAACAAAGGAACAAAGTTTAGGCTTTTTGAACCTCTGCTTCATCAGAGGTCATGTGACTAAGTGCCTAGGCTTTTTAGGCATGTGACCAGCCCTGGAGGGAGGCTAAAGCTGCATGTTTACCAGGAAATAATTCTTTTTCAATTATTATTTCACTACAGGCTGGAGGCACACTGTATGAACCTGACCTAGAAAAACTCTCAGCCTTCTTGTGTGACCCTTTACTGTGGGTCTACCTGGAGCAGGATAGTCTAATGTCATTCAGGGTGTAATCCTTAAAAGTGGTTGTAAACCTCTGAAATAAAAAAAAAAATGAGCAAAGCACACCTTTCTATACTGTACTTGCATTGAGCCAAAACACTTAATTGGATATCTGTCTGCTCTTGTCATTCCTCTGCTATCTGCATAAGTCACTTCTTTGCTGACCCCAGACAATCTAGGGGGACGGCTCTGCTCCACCCCACCCCACCACATAGCACGTGATGGACAGCCCCTCAGCTGTGCATATTTCCCTATGAGAATGTGCAGAGGGGAATGTGTCCATTCCCTACACTCAGGTGTCAGATTACACTCAGTTCCCTGCTCTATGCTGTGTGCAAGTGTGTGATGTCAGATCCTTGTCCCTGCCTTCTGGAGCTTGGAAAATCTGTGTACAATGTGTGCTTTAGGAGGCTGTAGAGAAGAAATGGATGAGGATAAATGGGTACAACTTATCTAGGAGGATTTGTTTCATTTCTGTGTATAACCTGGAGCCAGTCACTTCGTATGTAAGGGTTTACAACCACTTTAATGCATTTTAGTGACACATGACAAAACAAACATAGGTTGATGAAGTGCTCTCTCTAGGAAGCAACTGCCCTTAAGATCAATAGTGACATTTAAAAAATACAACTCTTTACCTGGAGAACAATCTTCTTCTTTTATCTGCGGCTTCAAGTCATGGCTGTCACTCACAGTTTCTTCATTTGCAACTTCTAGGGCACAATAGGCAATAAAAACTTCTGTTAATAAAGTAATATTAAAGATTTGTTTTTTATTTGTAAAAAAAAATAACAAACATGTTATACTTACCTGCTCTGTGTAATGGTTTTGCACAGAGCAGCCCCGATCATCCTCTTCCCGGGCCCCCGTTGGCGGCTCCTCCTCTTTGACCAGTGCCCCCAATAGCAAGCCGCTTGTCATGGGGGTACTGGTGCATGCTCACTCCCCAGCACTGCTCTAAGCATCCATAAGACACATAGAAGCATGGCTCAGCCCCCTCCCCACACCTTGCACTCTCGTCTCTGGCTGTGATTGACAGCAGTGGGAGCCAATGGCTCCCGCTGCTGTGTCTCAGCAAATGAGGAGAAAGAGACCTGGGACAGCCGAGGCTCTCATGCACATCGCTGGATTGAGAGAGGCTCAGGTAAGTGTTAGGGGAGGAGCTGTTGCACATGGAAGTTTTTTTTTTTTTTTTTTACCTTCAAGCATAGAAAGCTTTACAACCACTTTAAAGGAAGATTAGATTTTTTCTTTTCCAGAAAAGCAAAATTCTCTTATAATAATTGGGGCTGTTCCTCATAGATATATAACGGATGGTGCAGTGATCAGAGAATGATGGTTAACCTGTATGACCACCTTTACCGTTGATGAAGAACCCCTGGCTCGAAAAGTCATACAAATGTGGACGAAAACAGGTTTGAAGAATTAATGACAAAATTGTTCTAAACAGAAGGAGATCCCTGCAACCTGCTGGGACTGATAACGCCAGAGTGGGTGATTTCTGTATTGGACGCACCTTGGTCTTCTACAAGAGTGTTCTCATTACGGCAATCTGTACCAGTAAGGATCATCTTTATCTCAGCAGTCTGACTTGCTGCTATTGTTTATTTATTTCATGGACTTATATAGCGCCGCCAATTTACGCAGCACATTACACACAAACGTATATACAGTGGGGCAAAAAAGTATTTAGTCAGCCACCAATTGTACAAGTTCTCCCACTTAAAAAGATGAGAGAGGCCTGTAATTGGCATCATAGGGAGACCTCAACTATGAGAGACAAAATGAGAAAACAAATCCAGACAATCACATTGGCTGATTTGGAAAGAATTTATTTGCAAATTATGGTGGAAAATAGTATTTGGTCAATATGAAAAGTTCATCTCAATACTTTTATATATCCTTTGTTGGCAATGACAGAGGTCAGACGTTTCCTGTAAGTCTTCACAAGGTTGGCACACACTGTTGCTGGTATGTTGGCCATCCTCCATGCAGATCTCCTCTAGAGCAGTGATGTTTTGGGGCTGTCGCTGGGCAACACGGACTTTCAACTCCCTCCAAAGGTTTTCTATGGGGTTGAGATCTGGAGACTGGCTAGGCCACTCCAGGACCTTGAAATGCTTCTTACGAAGCCACTCCTTCATTGCCCGGGCGGTATGTTTGGGATCATTGTCATGTTGGAAGACCCAGCCACGTTTCATCCTCCATGCCCTTGCTGATGGAAGGAGGTTTGCACTCAAAATCCAACGATACATGGCCCCATTCATTCTGTCCTGTACATGGATCAGTCGTCCTGGTCCCTTTGCGGAGAAATAGCCCCAAAGCATGATGTTGCCACCCCCATGCTTCACAGTAGGTATGGTGTTCTTTGGATGCAACTCAGCATTCTCTCCCTCCAAACCCGACGAGTTGTGTTTCTACCAAACAGTTCTATTTTGGTTTCATCTGACCATATGACATTCTCCCAATCCTCTTCTGGATCATCCAAATGCTCTCTAGCAAACCTCAGATGGGCCCGGACATGTACTGGCTTAAGAAGGGGGACACGTCTGGCACTGCAGGATCTGAGTCCCTGGCGGCGTAGTGTGTTACTGATGGTAGCCTTTGTTACGTTGGTCCCAGCTCTCTGCAGGTCATTCACTAGGTCCCCCCCGTGTGGTCCTGGGATTTTTGCTCACCGTTCTTGCGATCATTTTGACCCCACGGGGTGAGATCTCGCGTGGAGCCCCAGATCGAGGGAGATTATCAGTGGTCTTGTATGTCTTCCATTTTCTAATTATTGCTCCCACAGTTGATTTGTTCACACCAAGCTGCTTGCCTATTGCAGATTCAGTCTTCCCAGCCTGGTGCAGGTCTACAATTTTGTTTCTGGTGTCCATCGACAGCTCTTTAGTCTTCACCATAGTGGAGTTTGGAGTGTGACTGCTTGAGGTTGTGGACAGGTGTCTTTTATACTGATAACAAGTTCAAACAGGTGCCATTGATACAGGTAATGAGTGCAGGACAGAGGAGCCTCTTAAAGAAGAAGGTACAGGTCTGTGAGAGCCAGAAATCTTGCTTGTTTGTAGGTGACCAAATACTTATTTTCCACCATAATTTGCAAATAAATTCTTTCCAAATCAGCCAATGTGATTGTGTGGATTTTTTTTCTCATTTTGTCTCTCATAGTTGAGGTCTCCCTATGATGCCAATTACAGGCCTCTCTCATCTTTTTAAGTGGGAGAACTTGTACAATTGGTGGCTGACTAAATACTTTTTTGCCCCACTGTATATATATATTGTACATTCACGTCACTCCCTAACCCTCAAGGGGCATACAATCTAAGGTCCCTAACCTACATTCATATGCTAGGGCCAATTTAGACAGGATCCAATTAACCTACCAGCATGTCTTTGGAGTGTGGGAGGAAACCAGAGTACCCAGAGGAAATCCACACAGGCACAGGGGGAGAACATGCAAACTCCAGGCAGGTGGTGCTGTGGTTGGGATTCGAACTGATGACCCTAGTACTGCCAGGCGGAAGTGCTAACTATTTAGCCACTGTGCTGCCCCGTTGTTACGTCAACTTATATAGAGGAAAGTACATCCTCATCAGTGTCTGGATAAAGTTCTCTTACCTCTAAGGGGAAAATTCAAAAGTGTGTAGCACCAGCAAGGTGAGCCAGATGGGAGTTTGCACATCCACATGGCCATGTCACTGCACGGTACAGAAATAACAGCTGGTCGCTGCAGGCTCTGGAGTTACCACATTTTAATCTATTCATTGAATGTTTGAGACGGACAGGACACTGGTGTGAATTAGTCATCAGCAACAAGTGACAACTATATTATTATTATGCCGCTCCTGAAAAAGTCGTTCTGATGAAATACCGAGTGGTAGGGATTTATTCAGATACATCCACTCCTGATGGAGTGAGGCACAGGGCTATTGTATTGAAGTACTGTTGGGCACTAGAGAATGTGGGCGCATTTTAACACTTTTTATTATATAAAGAGCTTTAAGCTGCTTTATGTTATGGGTACTATTCCTCCCTTGGCATTGAATTTATAGTGGCTTAGAGCAACTTACTTTGAATGAGAAGTAGCCCTTATGTTTGTGGCTGATCTCATCATTTATATCTTCAGTCCTCTGTCCCCCCCCTACCCAACCCACATGGTGGTAATCTTCTGTTGGAAGGGTGCCAACTATGCTACATCTTTCCGCCCCCCTGCTCCATTAAAAATGTTACCATTGCTTCCTGCAATGAAAAGCACTCTATGAAATGAGGGGGTAGACCTGTTATTCATCCACCTCTCCTCCATTCATAGAGGGGGTAGACCTTTTATTCATCCACCTCACCTCCATTCATAGAGGGGTAGACCTTTTATTCATCCACCTCGCCTCCATTCATAGAGGGGTAGACCTTTTATTCATCCACCTCGCCTCCATTCATAGAGGGGGTAGACCTTTTATTCATCCACCTCGCCTCCATTCATAGAGGGGTAGACCCTTTCATCCACCTCGCCTCCATTCATAGAGGGGGTAGACCTTTTATTCATCCACCTCGCCTCCATTCATAGAGGGGTAGACCTTTTATTCATCCACCTCGCCTCCATTCATAGAGGGGTAGACCTTTTATTCATCACCTCGCCTCCCTTGACCTTTTATTCATCAACCTTGCCTCCATTCATAGAGGGGTAGACCTTTTATTCATCCACCTCGCCTCCATTCATAGAGGGGGTAGACCTTTTATTCATCCATCTCGCCTCCATTCATAGAGGGGTAGACCTTTTATTCATCCACCTCGCCTCCATTCATAGAGGGGTAGACCTTTTATTTCATCCACCTCGCCTCCATTCATAGAGGGGGTAGACCTTTTATTCATCAACCTTGCCTCCATTCATAGAGGGGTAGACCTTTTATTCATCCACCTCGCCTCCATTCATAGAGGGGGGTAGACCTTTTATTCATCCATCTCGCCTCCATTCATAGAGGGGTAGACCTTTTATTCATCCACCTCGCCTCCATTCATAGAGGGGGTAGACCTTTTATTCATCCACCTCTTCTGCATTCATAGAACAGTTTTCGTTGCTGCAAGTTATAGTACATTTTCTATAAATGGGGGAGGGGGTCAGAAAGGGTGGGCATAGTCAGCATTCATGACGCATGCTATGACAAGTCCAGTGGCTCATACTGAAACCTGCAGGACCAGAAGATTACCACTGCAGGGGTATGCAGGGGGAAGAAAGACTGAAGAGATCAGGCACCAGCACAAGGGACACTCCTTATTAATGTACAGTGGGTACAGAAAAGAATTCCCCTCCCCCTTTAACCACCTCCCGCCCGCCATATAGTCTAAGGACAGGCGCAAGGTGGTTCTCTCATAACGGGAGGACGTCATAGGACATCCTCCCATGCTCACCGTGCGTGCACGGCTCAGGGAGCGCGCAGCATGGCGATCGGCGGTGCGCTCTGTCCCTCGGACACAGCAGATCACCGATCTACGGAAAAAGCCGAAGGTGTCAGCTCAGTCATGTGATCAGCTGTGTCCAATCACAGCTGACCACATGTAAACAGGGAAATGCCGGTTATCGGCATTTCTCTCCTCACGAGCTGTCACGCTGACAGAGGAGAGGAGAGCCGGTAATCGGCATTCCGCGGAGGGGACATGTACACTGATCATCAGGGTACTGATGATCAGTGTACCCTGATGATCAGTGTGGCTCCAGAAGTGCCACCTGTCAGTGTCCATCAGTACCAGTGCTGAACAGTGCCACGTGCCAGTGCCACATCAATGCCACATATCAGTGCCTACCAGTGCACATCAATGCCACATATCAGTGCCCATCTGAGCTGCCTTTCAGTGTCCCCCATCAGTGCCAGTCAGTGCCACCTATCAATGCCAATCAGTGCCGCCTATCAGTGACCATCAGTTCTTTTCTAAGTGTGCATCAGTGCCGCCTATCAGTGCCTGTCAGTGCCTCCTATCAGTGCCAATCAGTGCCGCCTAACAGTGCCAGTCAGTGCCACCTAACAGTGCCAGTCAGTGCCGCCTATCAGTGCCAGTCAGTGGCGCCTATCAGTGCTGCCTTTCAGTGTCCATCAGTGATGCCTGTCAATACCCATCAGTGCCATCTACCAGTGCCTCCTCATCAGTGCCCATCAGTGCAGCCTATCAGTGCCCATCACTGCAGCCGCATTAGCGCACATCAGTGAAGGAGAAAAATCACTTATTTACAAAATTTTACAACAAAAACTAAGAAAAAAAAACATTTTTTTTTCAAAATTTTCAGCAGTTTTTGGTTTGTTTAAGAAAAAATAAAAAACCCAGAGGTGATTAAATACCACCAAAATAAAGCTCTGTCGCAAAAAAATGCTAAAAATTTCATATGGGTACAGTGTTGCATGACCGCGCAATTGTCATTCAAAGTGTGACAGTGCTGAGAGCTGAAAATTGGCCTGGGCAGGAAGGGGGTATAAGTGCCCTGTAGGCACGCGTTCACAATAATTCCATTTTGTTGCTTTGCAGCCTGAAATGAAGACAGACACAGTTTTTGTTTTATCCAGCTGTATTTACTGTGCAATGTATAACATCCAAGTGAAAGATATAACACCAACATGTCAGAAAAAAAATTAAAAAACAGAATCACTGATTTGGAAAAAGGATCACCCCCCCCCCCCCTCCTAAAAATAACTTGTAAACTCAATCAGGTATAGCTAATCACTTTCTCAATGGCACACAAAGCCATTTGACTTTCAACTGTGATCAGCTGCGTTCATTTTGATTAGCTCAGAATGAAAAGAACTTTCTGGAGTTTTTCAGTCCCTGGTAGTGCAACTGAAGCAAACAATTAGCTATGGGTGGCAAGGTACTGTCAAAAGATCTGCAGGGATAAAGTGGTGGACAGGCACAAGTCAGAAGATGGATCCAAAAAAATCCAAAGGCTGTATCAATGTCTAGAAGAACAGTAAAGTCTATTATTAAGAAGTGGAAGGTATTTGGTAGAACACAGACCCTCCCTGGATCAGGACGTCGCTCCAAACTAGATGAAAGAGCCAGAAGAGAACTGGTCAGGGAGGCTACCAGGAGGCCTAAAGCAGCTCTGAAACCGTGTCAGGAATTGAGGACAAGAGTGGTCCTTGTGTGCATGTGACAACAATATCACAAATCCTCCACAAATGTGACTTGTATGGGAGGGTTGCAAGAAGAAAGACACTCCTCAAGAAAGGCCACATGCAGTCACCACTGAGCTTTGCCAAAACGCACCTTGAAGATTCTGAGGCCAAAGGTGTTCTGGTCAGATGAGACTAAAATTGAATGATCTGGCGTCAACATTAAACGACATGTCTGTTGGAAATCCAATCCAGCTCACCATCCAAATCCCATCATTCCTACAGTAAGGTATGGAGGGGGGAGAATATCCTGTTATGGGAGGTTTCTCTGTAACAGGGACTGGAGCATTTGTCAGGATAGAAGAAAAAATGGATGGGAAAAATACCGTCCAATTCTTGTGGAAAATCTGCTGCCCTCTGCCAGAAAGCTGTCAATGGGAAGAAGGTTCACCTTTCAACATGACAATCACCCAAAGCACAAAGCAAAAATGAGCAAACAAAGGTTGAAGAAAAAGGGGAATGTCCTAGCATGGCCTAATCAGAGTCCAGACTTAAGCCCCATTGATAATCTGTGTAATGACTTGAAGACTGCAGTTCACAAACGGTCGCCATCAAATTTAACTGAACTTGAGCAATTCTGCAAAGAAGAGCCTAGATGTGCAAAGTTAGTAGAGACATATCCCAACAGACCAGGGGCGGACTGACCATTTGGAAACTCGGGCACTGCCCGAGGGCCCGGGGTCAGTAGGGGGCCCCATGAGATGCCCCTGGTACCTTTTTCATAGGATTTTTTGAGTTTGGGCAAGGGCACAGGGGCCCCATGATCCCCTATTGCCCGGGGGCCCCCATGAGTTGTCAGTCCACCCCTGCAACAGACTACAGGCTGGAATTAAAGCAAAAGGTGGTTCAACAAAACACTGACACAAGGGGGGTGGGGATCCTTTTTCCAACTCAGTGATTCTGGTTTTGATTTTTTTTGGAGTTTGGAGTTTTGGAGTTATATCTTTCACCTGGATGTTATAAGTTTCACAGAGTAAATACAGCTGAATAAAACAAAAACTGTGTCTGTCTTTATATCAGGCTGCAAAGCAACAAAATGTGACTATTTTAAAGGGGGGAGATTCTTTTCTATACCCAATGTAAGTATTGTCTCTCAAACTAATTTAAAAAAAAAATAAAATTTAAGCTTTAAAAAGTTTACATACATTTAAAAATTATAAATCTGCAAAAAAAAAAGTGCTGAAGGGAAGAAGAGGAAAAATAAGTCCTAATAAGGTATTAAAAAGGTGGTAATATCTTGTTTAAAAGAAAAAAAAGCGAATCTCCGATAATACCTTTGGGACAGCCACACTCACCCAATGTAATCTGCAGGACTGGGCAATGAGTTTAACAGTTCAGTCCATTGTACATTGTAGAGGATGGGGCACAATGTGTGTGGCCTAATCTGACACATCACTACCAACAGCTACAAGTGACCAAACCTATACCAAAGAGGCAGAACGCACCGGGGTCTAGAGGCCTGAGACAGCTGCCGTCCTCCTCTCCTACGTCATCATTTTCTGGGGGGAAAGCCAGAGAATATCGTAAAGATATCATTCTAGAGAACTAAAAACGATGGTAACATTGAAGTTCAAGTAGTTTAATATAAATTAGTTTCATTTTAGAAGTGATGTCAGAGTTAGAGCAGTTTTAGTTTGTTAATATTACATGGGAGAAGCAATTCCTAACAGAACGTTACATACAAAACTACGCCTATCATGGCTGACAGCAGAGCAGAGGAGCTAACCCTGCATCAGCAGAAGGATACAAGACGTACAGAGCATCCAGAAAGTATTCACGGCGCTTAACTTTTGCCATATGTTGTTATGTTACAGCCTTCTTCCAAAATGGATTAAATACATTTTTTTCCTCAACATTCTACAAACAATACCCCATAATGACAACGTGAAAGAAGTTTGTTTTGAAATCTTTGCAATTTATTAAAAAAAAAAAAAAACTAAAAAAAAAAAAAAACACATGTACATAAGTATTTACAGCCTTTGCTCAATACTTTGTTGAAGCCCCTTTAGCTCCAATTACAGCCTCAAGTCGTTTGGAGTATGATGCTACAAGCTTGGCACACCTATGTTTGGGCAATTTCTCCCATTCTTCTTTGCAGTACCTCTGAAGCTTCACCAGGTTGGATGGGGAGCGTCGGTGCACAGCCATTTTCAGATCTCTCCAGAGATGTTCAATCGGGTTCAAGTCTGGGCTTTGGCTGGGCCACTTCAGGACATTCACAGAGTTGGCCCGTAGCCACTCCTTTGTTATGTGGGCTGTGTGCTTAGGGTCATTGTCATATTGAAAGATGAACCGTCGCCCCAGTCTAAGGTCCAGAGCGCTCTGGAACAGGTTTTCTTTTTTTTTTTTTTTTCCTTTATAAAAAGTTTTATTGAAGTATGAAAGGCAAAACAAGTCATAGACAGATATGGATCGCAGTCCATGCACATCCTCTTACATGTTCTCCCGTAACGCAGACGGGATCAGATTAAATTGTAGATCATCATGAGACGAGGTCCCACAGCAAGGCAGATGCAAAAGATATAACCATAGCAGTACTGATAACAGTATGTAATTTAGATAAATACGGTATACACTAGTCTCTATGTAGGGAGAGCTCAAATAACAGGACTATGAAGTGCAAGACAAAAGTATCATCTCAAGGCATATATGTCCTATGTTTCCATATCCGTAAAGTGTGGGTTAGTTTTGTGGATTATTGTTACACCTGTACATCTATGAGTGTTCCATACATTATGACAAATATAGCTAGTTAGAATATGAGAAAAGGGGGTGCAAAAGAGAGAGAGAAAAGAAAAGAAAGAGACGAGCATGGCTGGAACAGGTTTTCATCAAGGATGTCTCTGTACATTGCTGCATTCATCTTTCCTTCGATCCTGACTAGTCTCCCAATTCCTACCGCTGAAAAACATCCCCACAGCATGATGCTGCCACCACCATGCTTCACTGTAGGGATGGTATTGACCAGGTGGTGAGCGGTGCCTGGTCTCCTCCAGACATGATGCTTGGCATTTAGGCCAAAGAGTTCAATCTTTGTTTCATTAGACCAGAGAGTTTTGTTACTCATGGTCTGGGAGTCCCTCAGGTGCCTTTTGGAAAACTCCAGGTGGGCTGCCATTTGCCTTTTACTGAGGAGTGACTTCTGTCTGGCAACTCTACCATACAGGCCTGATTGTTGGAGTATTGCAGAGATGGTTGTTCTTCTGGAAGGTTCTCCTCTCTCCACAGAGAAACGCTGGAGCTCTTTCAGAGTGACCATTGGGTGCTTGGTTACCTCCCTGGCTAAGGCCCTTCTCCCTCGGTCGCTCATTTTGGCCAGGTGGCCCGCTCTAGGAAGATTCCTGGTGGTTCCAAACTTCTTCAATTTATGGATGATGGAGGCCACTGTGCTCATTGGGACCTTCAATGCTGCAGAAATTTTTCTGTACCCTTCCCCAGATCTGTGCCTTGATACAATCCTGTCTTGGAGGTCTACGGACAATTCCTTGGACTTCGTGGCTTGGTTTGTGCTCTGACATGCACTGGTAACTGTGGGACCTTCTATAGACAGGTTTATGCCTTTCCCAATCATGTCCAATCAACTGAATGTCCCACAGGTGGACTCCAATCAAGTTGTGGAAACATCTCTAGGATGATCAGTGGGACCAGGATGCACCAGAGCTCAATTTTGAGTGTCATGGCAAAGGCTGGGAATACTTACGTACATGGGTTTTTTTTTTTTTTTTTCGTTTTTAACTTTTAATAAATTGCAAAGATTTCAAAATGAACTTCTTTCACATTGTCATTATGGGGTATTGTTTGTACAAAGTTGAGGGAAAAAAAATGAATTTAATCCATTTTGGAATAAGGCTGTAACATAACAAAATGTGTCAAAAGTTAAGCGCTGTGAATACTTTCTGAATGCACTGTGTAAAGGACATTAAGTGGAACTTAATGGTATCTGAGCACCACAAACTGAAAACACTATTTAATTCATTTTTTATTCAAAGCAAACTCCCCCATCCATCCATGTCTCCAGGTTTTATTTTGTTGAGAAATCACTCAGGCATGCAGGCAGGAGGGAGGGTGTGCTTAGCTGAGAATACCCCTCCTCTCCTCCTCCAGATACAAAAAAAAAAGTTCCCATGAAGACTCCTGGGATGTATGACATTATTTCGGCCTAGGCCAAAAACCAGGAAGAAACTGAAAAAAATGTGCAAAGTAAGTAAATAAATAAAACAAGTAACTATAATATGCCTTTCTATTTATTTACTAATCCTGGCATATAACCACAGCAATATTATACTATATATATCTATATTATTATCTATATTATAGGGATGGTACCTCTGTAGGGAAACATGACCCCATATCAATCCTCCACATATGCCCTATGATTATATTTACTAATGCTGGCAGCATAAGGATTAAAATAGTTAAAGCAGAACTCCATGTAAATTTTTTATTGTCCCAAGCAGTGGGGCTGTGACCGCACTCCATGAGTTAACTGCTCGTTTTGTCCAGGGGGCCCCTGAAAGGCTATACTTACCCTGTCCTTCGAACCTCCCAAAAAAAAAAAAACGGAGCTCCCCCACATCCAGACGTAGAGTATTCCTGCCGCCCTCACGTCTGGAGTCGGTCTATTTGCGTGATGACGTCAGGAACAGTCCATTTACAAGACCGCTAGCGTGCAGGGGGGCAGAAGCAGCAGGGACCAGTCTTGCGCTCGTAGGATCGGTACGTAAGTATATCTTTCTTTGCTCTTATCGCCCCTAGACACAAACAAGCAGTTAGCCCATGTACAAATTTATTTTTGCCTGGAGTTCTGCTTCATTGTCAATTGAGAGAGTTTAGTTCCGCTTTAATGGCAGTGTACAGGAACAGCCAAATAAGACAGTGTAATGCCAGTGAGATGACAGATTCAGAGTACTTGGCTTATGATGAATTTAGTGTCACCTGTATTTGACTACTGGGACCCCTTCATACTGTATACGTTATTGCATAAACAAGGAAATTTGCCTTATGTCTTATTATTTCAGTTCAGTTGCTACCACTGCACTAGGACATACTGTATTCTTTTCAGCACAGCATGTTGCAGAGCAGTATACCACATTGCCACCCACGGTGGTGAATCGAATGTATGAAATGTCAATTTGTGACATTTCAAAATGTTGAACAAAAAAGAAAAATGTAAACCGTGAAATGTGTCATTTGCATTGTATCTTCACAGCACTGGTGTGAACGAGCCTTATACAGTACCTTTTCTTCTCCTGCTTTCCGGCCTCTTAGCCATCTCGCTTTAGTGATGGCACACTCTCATCCTTTAGGGCTCGTTCACACCGTGGTGCAGAAACGTCAGTTTTTCTGCACGCTTTCTGCAAGAGCACAATGAAATCAATTGTTCTCTATGTGCCCTGTTTACACCACAACACTAGTATCACGGGCAGATTTTTTCTGATGATGATTGAAGCACGCATGAAAACTGATGTCTCTGCAAGTGAAATCTGCACGTCAGTTTCCATCAGTTTTTCTGCACGTATGGTGTGAACGAGGCCTTACCCTTTTATTGAAAAAGTAAAATTCGTACACTAGTCTGTGGGTTAGTTTATTATTCTACAATGTCCTACGTCATTCTACAGAGTTCTAAAGTACTCAGGAACATATTACGGTTCTTTTGTCACAAGGCAGCCGATCTGGTAATTGGCTTCAAATGTTTTGTTTTTGCTTTATAACCATGCCATTATTTTTTGCATGTATTGGTTTTGATTGCGATAACAAATGTGATACAGTATTCCTCCTGGTCTTGAGGACATAGTGCATGCCATAATGTACACTAGGATGGGAAACTTTATATCCACACGTTTATTTCTTGGTTGGTGGTGATAGCCATGTGAACGTTTCGGAGAATCTTTGGATACAGCCTTTTGATTGACCTTCTCCACCCCTGTGAGGGTAGGACATATGTGAACATTTGTTTATGGTTTTTTTTTGTTTGTTATGTGTATGTCCTTAATATGTTAAACGGTTCAATAAAAAGATTGAAAAAAAAAACCAAACAAAAAAAAAACCAAATGTAATACAGGATCCTGTATTGTTTTGTTGTGTGAAATAAAAATCTTAAATCAGAACTTTGAGCAAAATTTTTATTTTTCCATGCAGTTGGGCTGTGCTCACTGTATGGGTTAACTGCTTGTTTTGTCCAGGGGTGCATGGAAAAGCTATACTTACCCGATCCTTCGAAAAAAGCGTACCCCTACGTCCAGAGGTGGACTGTTCCAGCCATCATCAAGTCCAGAGCCATTCTATGGGTGTGATGACATCAGGAACAATCCATTCACAAGACTGATAGCATGCAGGGGGGGGGGGGGGGTGTCAGGAATGGCAGGGACCAGTCCTACACTCAGATGATTGGCAGATTAGGTAATCTCCACCTGCAATTTCCTAGGCAGAAACGTGCAGTTAACCCATACAGTGTGGGCAAAGCCTCACTGCATGGGAAAATAAAATTTTGCCCACAGTTCTTATTTAAATTAAAAAATATAGAATTATTAGAGATTATATTTAGAAATGGAAGTACTGTAGTGGCCTGCAGCATCATTCAACCACCCACAATGGCCCCAGGTCCTCCGAGAAACCTTAGGCTTCACAGTGCCGTCCAACCTCTCATAGTCCCACCCAGCCCCTTGTAGTGCCCCCTAGCTTGCTGCAGAACTTCCAGCCTCCCAACTTCTCGCAGTACCCTCCAGTCTCCCACAGTGCCCCTGCAAAGCCCCCAGCCTCCTGGAGAGACCCAACCCCAATCCCCTCCAGAACCCCCATTCCTCTACAGTGACACTATGCTCCACCCAGAACCTCCCAGTATTTAAATACATAGTTTGCATTCATGTACTTTTATTGTGTGAGTATAATTTTTTTTTTTATTATTGGGGAAAAGAAGGTATTAGAAGTATTTACTAAGCCCATATTTCAATAAGGTTGAACCCCTGGTCTATGGAAAATGAATATATGCCATATCCCTTTAGTAGCTCTGTGTTGGCTCACCTGAGAAATATTCGGATTTGCAGGTTCGGTCGCTGGGACAGTCCCTGTCCTCATGTCCTAGTGCTCCGGGAACATACTCTGCAATCACAGAGAAAAATACCACGGCTTACTGATCTGACTTCTGACAAAAATAACTCATGGGCAACCCAACACGGCTAAATCACAAAAATCCACCAACAGGAACTCATCAGTGTAATGAGAGACAAAATGAAAGCAAGGCCTAAAAAAGACCAAACTACAAGAACTTAGCATCAATGTAAAAAATTCTGAACTACTTCAATATTTATTCCAATTAGAAAAAAAACAGGATCTCTGGGCGTGTATTCATTGTACACTACACACATTTTTAATTGAACTCATTAAAACATACAGTAGATTCTACATTCCAGTAGCACAGTGGTTTGCAGGACTGGAGTCCTTGGTTAAATTCCTGTTCAGAATACTATCTGCATGGAGTTTGTATGTTCTCTCTGTGCCTGCGTGGGTTTTCTCTGAGTACTCTATTTTCCTCCCACACTCCAAAGACATGCTGGTACGTTAATTACCTCCTGTCTAAACTGGCCTTAGTAAGTGTTCATTGCTAAGCAGAGATATATTGTACATAAAGCCACTGGTTAATCTCAGCCAAGCATACATCCAGGGCGGAGCTTTCTGTGATGTCACCACCTTCCGCCTGGTGATCTGACACCATGGGAATTTTAAATATTTACACTGCTTTTATGCACCTTATCTATGTAATTGCAATACTTTAATAAATGCTTTGCTGGTTTATCGGGTCGCACTATGAGGTTTTCTTATTCTGTTTTAAACTTTTCCTTGTCTGATGTGGAGAGCTGTCTGATGTGATGGATTTGTTCAAGTGAACCTGCAGTTGTCCATTCATCTCCTTATTCATCTCCATGATACGGCTATCTAGGGTGTCAGTGTGGGATCTGAACACCATCTGCTCATTTAATCTCCTGATTGGAGATCAAAGTGTCTGGTTAGAGGCTGACTTTTTCTTTTGTGTCAAGCATTTGTGGACACCTATACACTTTGCGTTGGAGGATTTCTTTAGCAGCACTGTATTATTGAATTTTGGGACTTTTAATTATTTAATATAGGAATGTGGACTTATATCATTTCAATTAACTTATGCACATTTTTTATGTAGCAGCATTTATTTGATTGATTATTGTTTATGATTATTTAGTGTACAGCGCACTCATTTTATATATATACATCCAGTGGGCCAGTACTCATAGTTCAGGGTCAGCTTGTTTGGAGACCATAGCTCTTTGTATAATTCCTTGTGTAATTCCACATTCTGCAAAGTCTATAATCAACCAACAGGTAGCAGTACTATAGTAATGAATCATTCTCAATGTTAAATGTATATTCTACATATCATCAGTGCAGCAGTCCCCCCTAATACTCCCAGTACGTAAATTTTTGAGGCTCACCCGGAATACACGGCATGGTGGGCAGCAACACCTTTTTTCTTTTCCGACCCACTGGTGCCGCTCCTGGACTGTGACCTGAAATGACACATACATAGGGTTGTACTCATGACTTACCAAAGGTGATTTCAGTACTGTAACATCACATCTAAGTGTAAGATCGCCTTTAGTAGCTTCTTACAAAAATCCCCCAGTTCAATTCCAGATCCCATAAATAGTTCATATGAGCGGTCCTCCTTTTAAAATGCTGCTTCTGCTTTCCTGTAGATATGTAGCCGTGGAGGGTCTTCTCCACAGAAGCCCCTTGATTGCCCCACTGTCCTGGTGTTTGCAGGACAGGCTGGACACTACAAGTGTGCGCCCCCTAGCGGTCGGTACTCAAACTGTGCCCATGTACAGGGCACTCTCTCCTTCAACAGCTGCATCAGTTGAGCTCAGCGGCTGCAATTAGATAAGAAGAGAGCACATTGCGTGTGAACGCAGTTTGAATTGGAGGAGGTTTGGGGGGGCCAGTCACTTCTGTGCCCCCCCCCACACCCCTAACTGCATATTTTAAGTGGATTTCTGGGCCCACTACCCCCCGCCCAAAAAATTTAAAGTCAGCAGCTACAAATACTGTAGCTGCTGACTTGCAATATTAGGGCACTTACCTGTCCAGGGATCCAGCAGTGTCCTCAACCTGAGCTGATTCTTCAATCGGGTGTAGGGTGCTGGCGCCGCCATCTTGACTAAGGGAAACTGGCCGTAAAGTCTTGCGGCTTCACAGCTGGTTCCCTGTTTGTGAATGGACTGTGTTCCTCTAGGACCCGTGAAGTGTCCCCAAACTGAGCCGAAAGTGGAAGCGGGTACCTGTCAAAACCACATACCCACTCTCCCCTCCCCCCCAAAATGTGCCAAATGTGGCAGCGGGGGGGGGGGGGGATAGATAAGTGGAGCTTCCACTTCTGGGTGGAACTCTACTTTAAAGGAAAGCAGGAGCAGCATTTTAAAATAAGGACCTGTTTATGGGATCTGGAATTGCATAGGGGGATTTTTGACTGATGTGAATGTACAATATATATGTAAAGCGCTGCGTAAATTGGCGGCGCTATATAAGTACCTGAAATAAAATAAATAAAATACATTTTTGTAAAAAGTAACTAAAGGTGAACTTACACTTTAAAGTATACGTATTGGCGAAAACCTTTTTTTTTTTGTTTTTTTAGTTTAAGATAAAGCAGAAACCGCGTTTGTCTATGTAAACCAGTTAAATGTACGTAAAGATCACAATTTATTTTTTGTTTTGGATGGCATACGGAAGTGTTGTCAGTTTATTTTTGCTGTCCGTGACCAATATGGAAGATATCTCTTCCCTTCCTGTTTGGGAGACACAACAGGAAGTGAGTAGAAATCTCCTCTTATACAGTTGACATCAGAACAGATTAGCCTTTGGAAGATTTCAACTCTATTCCTGTTCTGGTGACAACTGTAAAAGTTTGGATTTCCCATCACTTTCTGTCTCGTGACACCAGGACAAATAGAGACGGTGGATATTCCCAGCAGTCAGCAATAAGAACTCCCAATGCATGTATGTTTCACGTAGTGTTTTAATAAAGGGCAGGGGACTTTATTGATAAGCAGACCTTGCATTTTGATGGAAGGTCGATTTTTATACCTTTTATGAGCAAAGGTCATTGAAGTCTAGATGCCCAGACCAAATTTAGCAGCGTCATAATTGTAGATTAACCGATTCCTGTCCACTCTATAGCAGATATACTGCTACAGGGCGCCACGGGTGCGCACAATACGTATATATACGTGAGTTTGCATTTCCTGGTAGGGGGTGCACGCGCACCCTATCCGCGCCGCCACTCGCAGCCGTCAATCACCAGGTTCCGGCCAGTAATTACTCGCCGACGCCCGGTGATTTCCAACAATCACCAATGGGGAGTAGGACTGTTTTGTTTACTAACAGTCCTCCTCCCTGTCAGCTTGGGCACACTGCTCTGGATGGCTGTGCACAGCACAGCCATCCAGAGCAGTGTGCTTACAGTGAAGCACCAGCACACACGTTCCCCTAGTAAAACACTCCCTGCACATAGTTAACCTCTGATCGCCCCTTGTTAACCCCTTCCTGCCCAGGGCCATTAGTACAGTGGCAGTGCATTTTTAGCACTTATCACTGTATTGGTGTAACTGGGGATATCAGTGTCACCAAGTCAGTTCCCCCCAGTGTCAGAATGTCTGCTGCAGTCCCGCTGTAAGTCGCTGATCACCGCCATTACTAGTAGAAAAAAAAATTCCAGTATATATACCGTCATTTGTAGATGCTATAATTTTCACATAAACCAATTAATTTATACGTATTGGGATTCTTTTTAGCAAAGACATGGAGCAGAATACAGTAGTCTTTTTTTTTTATAGCGCAAAAATAAAAAATGCACAGGCAATCAAATACCACCGAAAGAAAGTTCAGTTCGTGGGAAAAGAAGGACGTAAAATTTCATTTGGGTGCAGCATTGCATGACCGCGCAATTGTCATTTAAAGTAACACAGCGCTGTAACGCAAAAAATGGCCTGGTCAGGAAGGGGGGGGGGGGGGGGGGTTGAGTTAAATCCTCTGGAAGGCAAGTGGTTAATGAAAAAAGAAAACTTTGTCCACCTACATCATTTTACATTTATAAACAGATTTTTTTTAACCCCTTCATGTTGGCATTACGCATATAAGTGGCAGTGATAAAGCGATGTGCTGTCACATACAGTATATGTGTTGTTTTTTTGTGCTGGGCTAGAGTTTGTGCCCCCAGGATTGTGACTGCGCTGCCACCGGCAGTTCGTAAAATGACGATCAGGAGCCAGTAATATGGGCTCTTGAGCATGTGATAACTGTGACAGCCAATCACAGCGATCACATGATCAGGAAGCCCATAAAACACCTCTGGCAGGAAGGTGGTTAAACATGGTATTGCACTATAACATGTTTGTAAACAAATACATATATGGTAACCTAATTGGCTGTCATAGTGAGCACCTGATCAAGAACCACATTGACTGGTTCCCATTTGTTCGTGTATACCAGCTGCTGTCAGTAACTGGGCGGTCGTCTTTTAAAAGCATAAATTAATGCTTTCTTGGCATAGGGGCCGTTACTAAGAACAGTAATATACAGGTTATGGACATCAAGGGTATAAACTCAGTTATCTCGTGTAGTTGGGGCTTTTGAATCCAAGTATAGTCCAACAATTTATCCTTCTAATCAAGTAGAAGCATTTTTTTGGTTACTGTCAATGGGTAAAGATTTGGAAATGGGTATAATCAAGCTCGGTTTTGGTGAACACAGTGAATGTAAATGCTCGAAGAAAGCACAGTTTATTATTGAAGGGTCTCGGCACTTGGCAGAAGTCACCGAGTTTTGGCCAATCGCATCTCACATCTATAGCAGGCCAAACCCCAAACAATTCATTCATCAATCTTTTTTCCTGACGGCATTTGGGACTTACAGACATTTCTTCCCAACATCTGGGATTTCTGTACCTTGTGAGTTCACTTCCAGAAGCTTAAAGAAATGGTCGTCTGTTATATCGGCATCCTCTTCGAAATCATCTGCAACACAAACAAAACGTCAAAACCAGCCACGCTCCTCATACAATTTCTTTTGTATATACGGAAACACACAACATGCCTGAAAAAAAAATGAACACAAACCTCCAACACGACTAATATAGCTGCAGAAATTAAATGTGCATTTCTTAACGTACTGTTATGTCATAGGGGGTGGTGTAGGGGTTGAGTCAGGGGCGAACTGACAACTCATGGGGCCCCTGGGCAATAGGGGATCATGGGGCCCCTGGGCAATAGGGGATCATGGGGCCCCTGTATCCTCGCCCACACTCAAACTACACTCAAAAAAGCCTATGAAAGGTACCAGGGGCATCTCATGGGGCCCCCTACTGACCCCGGGGCCCTTGGGCAGCGCACGAGTGCCTGAATGGTCAGTCCATCCCTGGGTTGTGTACATCTTTCCTTCCTTTGTTTATTATGGTCAGGACGAAAACAGGCCATACTCTGTTAGATTTCTTTTGTTCAGTCTGCAGGCTGAATGAAAGAAATAGAACAGATTCCTCCAACACAACAATCAGTGCGGATGGATAAAATACCCCTTTCATATTATATGTTTACAGAAATCAGATGAGTCATCAGAACAATAACTCCTCTCTCATTAGATGGCTCAGTCTGAGGTTTCAAATCAGGCAAAGGGAGCTGCAAAGGAAGCTGCTATGCTGTCTTTTTAGCTAACCCAGAGTGCTCAGGAAACACTTTGTCAGGTATTTTTATACCTGACAAAAAAAAATTTAACTTAAACTTTTCTTAGTTACTGAAAAAAAGTTGACCTAAAACAATTATAATGTATGTATAACAAAAACATTTTATCAGGTTTTAGGAGGGGAGGTATCTCCGTCAGTTTGAAATTTCTGTTGTCTCCATTGGGAAGATTCACCCTTTGAGGTAGCCAGCTATCTCCGGCGCATCTGAGATCTGGTTTATACCCGCCCTGTGAATCCAAACAGCATCTGGAGGGTAACAACTTTTTATGAAACAATCCTACAATGTAGCAAGCCAGAAATACAGGCATCGCCAGTGTCACCTATGAAGTCCTCTACTTGGTCCTCTTTAGTTTCATTGGGGTCACTGAGGATTTCTTTCTTGTAAAGCTCTTCATTTTCTTCTATGTAATTCCATTCTTCTCTAGTGAAGAACACAGCAACGTCCTGATAGCGTACCGGAATCTGAAACATGGAGAACAGCGATTGACAGTGATCAGCTAAATCACAGTCTGCCGCCACTGCTCGCTAACAGAGGAGAAATAGTGGCCTCTCATTGCATAGTTTTTCAAGGAGAAAAACTGATACAAACTAGAAAGCATTACATACATCTCACTTTCTTTTTACAAATTGGGCACAAAAAGAATGACAAGGCATCCGTCTGTACAGCACATACACGGTATGTGGCGACTATATAGAGCTCCTTTATGGTTCTTTCACTGAGGTCACCAGTCTGGATAAAACAACTTTTTTTTCTATTTCAAAAAGAGGAAACAGCCATTGGTATCCTGCAGGAAGATAACCATCACATTCACTACCCGTGTCCATAAAATACTATTCCCAGCACAGACACATTCCTGTAAATGGCTATTCAGTATTGCTGGGTGGCATAGTGACCACAGGCTGGGAATCGTAGAGAATCCAAGTGAAGAGATGTCACCAGCACATCAAGGATTCCTCAAAATGGGTCCAAAGCTTTATTTCGTGGTCACATGGTAAACAAAAGGCAACGTTTCGGAGCCACGAAGGGCCCCTTCATCGGGTAAGTGACTTGGTCCTTGGTGTGCTGGAGACATTTCTTCACTACCCGTGTCCATGTCCCCTGTTGGAGAACCTACTGAACCATCATGGTTGTCACCTCCAGAAAAGTCAAGACATAATACCCATGGACTTTTTTGGAGGTAATCAGACACATAAATGTAAAATATACAAGTGAACAGCTTTATTACAACATATAAGCAACGAAAATGGTTAAAAGCAAGATAAGCACCTAAAGTTACAATTTTGTGATCTTATTTGTACAGTATACTTTACATATATGTGTCCGAGTACCTTCAAAAAGTCCATTGGGCATTGTGTCTTGACTTTTCTGGAAGTATTTAAGGATGGAGGTATATATGCTAAGTGATCCATCATGGTTTCACCTGTTATTGTAAACATAGAGGAGGAGCGGTTCTGATGGTTCCACCTAACACAATATGTAGTCAGAACTACGCCCATCTGCCTGGTCTACTCTCTCACCTGTCCTTCCTTCTGATAGAACTTGCTGAGATCTTCATTCTTCTTCACCAGCTTCAAATCCTGCAAGGGGTATAAAGAATGGGGAACTCACCCAGCAGTCTCAAAGTACAGTCAAAGAACAGAATTCAGGGTACATCAAACTCTCCTACAGTATTTACTTCATATAACATTCTCAGCCTTGGATTTATACCATACAGCCAAAAGTATGTGGACTCCCCCCAACTGCCTGACATCTGGAGTTTCCAGTGAAAAGTACTGTTAATACTACAGCATGCAAAGATATTTTAGATGATTTTGCACTCCACCCTTGTGGTAACAGTTTAGGGATGACCATTTTCTGTTGTGTCACCATGACTGTGCCCCTGAGCACAAAACCAGCTCCACAGAGACATGGTTTGACAAGTTTGGTGTGAAGGAACTCGAGTGTCCTGCACAGAGCTCTGACCTCAACCCTGCTGAACATCTTTGGAATGAAATGAAACACAAACTGTGAGCAAGGTTTTCTCATTCAGCATCAGTACCTGACCTCAGAAATGGACACAAAGTCCTGCAGACACTTCAAAATCTTATTAAAAGCATTTCTAGAAGAGTGGAGCTGAACAGGTGAGCAAATCCATAATTATGGCCACAAACTAGAATAAGAAGTTCAACATTCCCATATAGGTGACCTCATATGGCCAGGATTTCTTAGGGCTTGTTCACACTTGCTAAAAATATTGACGCCTAACAAACTCCCCTATAGCATTAATACGCGTTAATAGGTGCGTTTGATGAGTTTTAAAATTGCTCACCCAAATGCCCTATGCACGTTTGCGGTAACTGCACCACAAATGCCTTTCATTAAGTGTAATGTACTAACATGTTTGTGGAGCGTTACCATGGACTTGAATGGAAGGAGCTGAAATGCTTCAACTCCTTTAAAACTGGACATGAAGTGTCAATTTTGAAGCGAAGCGACGATAACACTTCATGTTTTGATAATGTGAACATCACTGTGTGTTGTCCATATTATCAACTGCATAGGCCCCTCAATCACTTGCTTTCAATGCCAGTGAGAACCAGGCCTTAGACTTTTGCTCATACAGTGCATGTAAGCCAAATTATTCTTTGGCTGCCTTGAAAAACAGATGTCATCATAGTTACATAGTTAGTCTGGCTGAAAAAATACAAAAGTCCATCCAGTTCAACCATAGAAACAAAAAAAGTTATAATCCTACACCCACAGTTGATCCAGAGGAAGGCAAAAAAAAAAAACAGCAAAGCATGATCCAATTTGCTCCTGCTGGGAAAAAAATTCCTTCCTGACCCCCTGAAAGGCAATCGGACATTCCTTGGATCAACTTTACCTATAAATGTTATATCCAGTTATATTCTGTGTATCCAAGAAAGAATCCAGGACTTTTTTGAAGCAATCCACTGAGCTGGCCAGAACCAACTCCTTATGTATTATACATGGAGATATCCCCCCCTTATGCATTATACATGGAGAGATCATATCCCCCCTTATGTATTATACATGGAGATCATATCCCCCCTTATGTATTATACATGGAGATCATATCCATATCCCCCTTATGTATTATACATGGAGATCATATCCCCCCTTATGTATTATACATGGAGATCCCCCCTTATGTATTATACATGGAGATCATATCCCCCTTATGTATTTATACATGGGATCATATCCCCCTTATGTATATACATGGAGATCATATCCCCCTTATGTATTATACATGGAGATCATATCCCCCCTTATGTATTATACATGGAGATCATATCCCCCTTTAGTATTATACATGGAGATCATATCCCCCTTATGTATTATACATGGAGATCATATCCCCCTTATGTATTATACATGGTGATCATATCCCCCCTTATGTATTATACATGGAGATCATATCCCCCTTATGTATTATACATGGAGATCATATCCCCCTTATGTATTATACATGGAGATCATATCCCCCTTATGTATTATACATGGAGATCATATCCCCCCTTATGTATTATACATGGAGATCATATCCCCCCTTATGTATTATACATGGAGATCATATCCCCCTTATGTATTATACATGGAGATCATATCCCCCTTATGTATTATACATGGAGATCATATCCCCCTTATGTATTATACATGGAGATCATATCCCCCTTATGTATTATACATGGAGATCATATCCCCCCTTATGTATTATACATGGAGATCATATCCCCCTTATGTATTATACATGGAGATCATATCCCCCCTTATGTATTATACATGGAGATCATATCCCCCCTTATGTATTATACACGGAGATCATATCCCCCCTTATGTATTATACACGGAGATCATATCCCCCCTTATGTATTATACATGGAGATCATATCCCCCCTTATGTATTATACATGGAGATCATATCCCCCTTATGTATTATACATGGAGATCATATCCCCCCCTTATGTATTATACATGGAGATCATATCCCCCCTTATGTATTATACACGGAGATCATATCCCCCCTTATGTATTATACACGGAGATCATATCCCCCCTTATGTATTATACATGGAGATCATATCCCCCCCTTATGTATTATACATGGAGATCATATCCCCCCTTATGTATTATACATGGAGATATTTCCCCCCTTATGTATTATACATGGGGATCATATCCCCCCTTATGTATTATACATGGAGATCATATCCCCCTTATGTATTATACATGGAGATCATATCCCCCCTTATGTATTATACATGGAGATCATATCCCCCCCTTATGTATTATACATGGAGATCATATCCCCCTTATGTATTATACATGGAGATCATATCCCCCTTATGTATTATACATGGAGATCATATCCCCCTTATGTATTATACATGGAGATCATATCCCCCTTATGTATTATACATGGTGATCATATCCCCCTTATGTATTATACATGGAGATCATATCCCCCTTATGTATTATACATGGAGATCATATCCCCCCTTATGTATTATACATGGAGATCATATCCCCCCTTATGTATTATACATGGTGATCATATCCCCCTTATGTATTACACATAGAGATCATATCCCCCCTTATGTATTATACATGGAGATCATATTCCCCCTTATGTATTATACATGGAGATCATATCCCCCCTTATGTATTATACATGGAGATCATATCCCCCCTTATGTATTATACATGGTGATCATATCCCCCTTTTGTATTATACATGGAGATCATATCCCCCATTAATCTCCTCTTCTCAAGAGAGAATACATTCAGTTCCTCTAATCTTTCCTCATAGCTGATCTCCTCCATGCCTCTTATCAGTTTGGTTGCCCTTCTCTGTACTTTCTCCACTTCCCCAATGTCCTTTTTATGAATTGGTGCCCAAAACTGAACTGCATATTCCAGATGAGGTCTTACTAATAATTTATACAGGGATATCTCTCTCTCTGGATCTCTGGAATCTATACCTCTTTTAATACAAGAGAGGATTTTGCTCGCTTTAGAACCCGCAGCTTGGCATTGCATGCCATTATTAAGCTTGTGATCTACCAGAACTCCCAGATCCTTCTCCACAATATATTCCCCCAGTTGTACCCCCCTGGAAATCCCCCCTGATCATCCCCCGTGGAAACCTCCCTGGAAAGAAGTCAATGCAGGAAATATTTTTGTATCACATCCCAGGGAAACGGGGGAAAAAAAAAAAACAACAAAAAAAACTCCTGATGAAGCTTGTTGGCCCACCAGCATTCTGGTTGCTGGGATGACTTGCATGTGGCTCACTCCTCTGGCAGTGTGTTAGGCCAAGGGGTGTGTAATGGTAAGAATCATCTTTGAGAATTAGAAGCAGGAAGCGGAATGATACGGCTCTCAATGTAATCATCGCTATATATTCATCCCATAGTTAGGAACTCAGTTTAGAGTTCAAAAGTGAACTTTGCACACATTTCTTGATAGTGTGGCATGACATGTAAAAGCCATCACCAACACAGACCCCACTAGACTAGAAACAATATACTTAAATGATTTTATGGGTTATCCTCTCACTGTAAAAAATAAAATATTTTCATAGATCTAGTCATGGACCTCTCCTACTCCTAATGCACTTTAAAGAGAACCTGTCTAAAGGTTAAAATGGGCAGCACAGTGGCTAAATGGTTAGTGCTTCCGCCTGGCAGTACTAGGGTCATTGGTTCAAATCCCAACCACTGCACCACCTGCCTGGAGTTTGCATGTTTTCCCTGTGTCTGCGTGGGTTTCCTCTGGGTACTCCGGTTTCCTCCCACACTCCAAATGCTGTTAGGTTAATTGGCTCCTGTCTAAATTGTCCCTAGTATGTGTATGTATGAATGTAAGTTAGGGACCTTAGATTGTACGCCCCTTGAGGGTTAGGGACTGATGTGAATGTACAATATATATGTACAGCTCTGCGTAAATTGACGGCGCTATATAAGTACCCGAAATAAATAAAAAATAAATAAAAAAATAAAGATATATGCAAAAAGGTAATGATATAGAATATGGAGGGGATAGGGAAAAAAATGCAGAGATTTCCACATTCTGGAAAAAGTATTCAGACAAGGTGAGTTGGGACTGGATCTGACCAGGGTTAGTGACCTTCTTAAAGAGACTACTGTTTACTCCCACAAGGCCTGCTGAGAAGAATGGAGAGCAATTTATTATCTGCAGGTTGGAGAGGCCCCTACATTGGAGTAGTGATGGGTCTGAGTCTGAGTGGGGTCCTGTCCTTGGGCAGAAGAGGCATTCTGTTTTGGGAGAAGCATCTTAGGTGTGACCTCAAGTTATACCAATCGGATATGTACTTCAGCTAGGTGCCATACTAATATGACCCATATTACCACCATAGGACAACAGAATAAGAAATATGAGTGAAAAGGCCTTACTGTACATATCTGTCGGTCCCAGTCCTCACCTCTCCAGCCACAAGACACACGATCTCCACAATCTGACTCAGCAGTTTCCTGGTCCGCTGCCTCTTGTAACTGCCCATATGTGGTGCTTCAGTCATGTGTCTCAAGAGCGCCACCTGTCAGGAAGGGAAAGGCACAACATGAGCTCATATCTGCACTGATCTTCTGTAGGCTGCCATCTTTTCTAACACTGGTAGAGCTTCAAGGAAACGAGATTAAAGTGGTAAACTCTAACAATAAACGTCTCTTATTTGCTCTTCTAAATATACCATTGAAAGAATATTTATGTTATGAAATGCCTTTTGATTCTTCCTGAAATCCATTCAGCTAGTAACTCCCTCTGCTGCATTGAATTCTCAAGCAATTTCATCAGCCCTGCATCGTTCTCCCCTATTGCACTACAGAACCCCCAATGTTATTGAGAGGAGGAGATAGGGGGGTGCTCTGTAGTCCTAACACACGTTCTGTCCTAGTGTGACAACACTGCTACTCCAAAGGTGCAGTACAGCAAGTGAGCATTGTCACACTAGGACAAGAAGTGTGTTACTGGCAGGATCTCCAGGTACAATACAGGGGAAAGAGCCAAAACTACAACTATGGACTGATAAACTGCAATATATTACATTTCTATTCGTTGGTTCAGGTTCACTTCAGAAATAACTGCATTGAAAAGTGGAAATAATTAAGATTGGTTATTTCCTAGAACAGTGGTCTCCAAACAGCCAGTGACCCTTTGGTTATCTCTTTTGGCCCTTGGGGCACTATTCTTCCCACTGACACCAACGTTGGGGCATAATTTCTGCCACAGATACAAACAATGAGCCACTATTTCTCCTGCTAAAACCAATGATGGGGCACTATTCCTCCCACTGACAGAAAAGATGGGGCACTATTCCTCCCACTGACACCAATGATGGGGCACTATTCCTCCCACTGACACTAATGATGGGACATTATTCCTCCCACTGACATTAATAATGGGACTCTATTCCTCCCACTGACACCAATGATGGGGCTGTATTCCTCCCACTGACATTAATGACAGGGCTGTATTCCTCCCACTGACACCAATGATGGGGCTCTATTCCTCCCACTGACACCAATGATGGGGCTCTATTCCTCCCACTGACACCAATGATGGGGCTGTATTCCTCCCACTAACACCAATGATGTGGCACTACACCCCCCCCCAAACACACCTTCCCTCAATACCAAAGATTGCGCATTGTTTACTCTCACGGACCTCAAGATATTTTCTACTCCCACTGGCCCCAGTTTGGCCCCCGTAAACTCCGAAAGACACTAAACTAGCCCTTTGTTTAGAAAGTATGGAGGCCCCTGTTCTGGATCAATACTTTCAAGTTTGTCTGAAGTTGTCCATAAATAAGCTGTGTACTCACCAGTTTGGCCTGTAGGATACATAATGTTTTCTTGTTTCTCAGGGAACATTTGAAGAAGAAGCATCCTTCTGAACCCAAGATATTTTCTACTCCCACTGGCCACAGTTTGGCCCGTAAAGTCCGAAAGACACTAAACTAGCCCTTTGTTTAGAAAGTATGGAGACCCTTGTTCTGGATCAATACTTTCAAGCTCCTCTGAAGTTGTCCATAAAATAAGCTGTGTACTCACCAGTTTGGCCTGTAGGATACATAACGTTTTCTTGTTTCTCAGGGAACATTTGGAGAAGAAGTATCCTTCCGGTGTCTCGGGGGAGGTGTGAGGTTCAGACTCCTGCTTAAGAGGTTCATGTTGGGTGACACGATAATCCTCTGAGGAGGAGCCATGTTGCAATGTGGAAGACACTTGATGATGGTCCTTTATGATCGCTTCCTGTTCTACGTTGGGTAACTCCTGAACGCATTTAAATCTGCTGTTAAAATACATGTGGTCCAGCTGCACCTTCCAGTCTTCGCCATAAAAATTGAACTCGTATTCAGGCCATTGGATGCCTCTGTCATAGGTATTCCAGCGAGGAACGCTGACAGAGCAAGACTGGATGGTCACCATAGTCAGGTCAGTCTGTGTGCCCATCTCTGTCCGTAGGATGTGTATGGTGGAGGTGCCGGCGTCCACCTGGGACCAACGGTCTTTTTTCCCAGTCTTCCTCTCTTCCAGGCGCTGCTTCTTCTTCTGAGGAACGTGTTTTATGGCGACTTCCACCACGTTCCCAGGAAAGACTGTGGGCACAGCATCCGGTTTGAGGACCACTTTGGTCCCCTGCGACATGTAACAATCAGGAACAAAGTGGGCCGAGCACATGCGGTAAGAACCCATTTTCGAAGACAAGATTTTCTCTGCAAAGTCATCAATGTCGTCATAGTACTGACCGGTCTGCTGAAGCCACAGCTTTATCCGGCTGAGATCTCTGGGAAACACATGCAATGTTATGCCAGGGGAAAAGCAGTTCTTTCCCATGAAGTGCGGGCAGGATCGGAAGATACATTTTGGCATGGCTTCCACCTGCAGACAAAATCTGATTATTATACGCAGCAGCTGCTATATTACAAAAATAGCTCAATCATCATCCATTCCATATACAGAACTAGTAAAATATATTTTTGTTTTAGCTATGGTCTTATATACAGTAGGTGATAGGTGAGAAGATTGGTCTTGGAAGGGTTAGAAGCCCCGTCAGGTTTTTATTGCTGTATGGATCTCCACCAAGAAGGTTCACCCTCTCTATTCCTCCTGGTCACCACTGACATTGAGAAAGTGTTAAGACATGCAAAATTTTCAGTTGTCACCAGAACAGGAATAGAGGGAAAATCTCTCAAATGAGGAGACCTGTTTAGGTGACAACTGTCTAATAAAGGATTTCTCCTTACTATGGAGGCATTTCCTCCCACTTCCTGTTATGTCCCCAGAAGAGGACGTGAAGGGAACTATCCCCAGTGGGAAAGAGCCAACAAAACCTAATTGTTCCCAGCTGTATCCAAAGCTAACCTAACATTTTTTTTGGACACACGTTAAAGAGTCCTTGGTTTCACTTTCATTTTATAACATCAGCATTGTAATAGCAATACAAACAATAGTTGTTTTTGGCAATCCAATGTAAACTTACTTTAACCACTTGCTGCCTTGCTAACGGGGGGCACAGGCAGGCACCGAGATGTACCCATACATCGTGATGCGCTACCTGGTTCTCGAGCACGCTTGTGCACGCCCCTGCTGATCTGTGCTGTGATTGGACACAGCACAAGTTTGTCAGAAGGTTGCAGCCAATGATTTTGGCACAGATTTTGGCAATCATAGCACAGAGTTCTGTGTTTTCAAACACACAGAACACTGATCTGGCTGTTTCTTCTCACTGAAATCAACTCTGAGTTCAGGGATAAAAAAAACAGAGACATTTGTGAGTACAAAAAACGGCACAGATTACACGCATTACACTTGCTAGGCACACAATTAACCTCCTTGATTGTCCTCCTAATCACCCCTGTCGCCCAGCTAGTGTCATTAGTACAGTGTACAGTATTATCACTGATCACTGTATTAGTGTCACTAGCAATGTCAGTGTGTTATTCAGTTTAGTGTCCCTCCCAGCCAGTGTCTGTTAACACCAAATTGCCCGCAACACTATCACAGTCCCACTATAATTCGCTGATCACCACTATTATTAGTTTAGTGTCTATAGCTGTGTAAATTCCAGTATATAGACCATGGTTTGTAGACGCTGTAACTTTCACACAAAACAATTAACCCTCATTGGGATTCTTTTTTTTTACCAAAGACATGTAGCAGATTACGTTTGTGGATATGTTTTAAACAGAAAAAGTAGAAAAAATAAATAAAATAATTAATATATATATATACATATATATATAAAAAAAATCTATTTTTGATCTCTTTTTGTTTATATAAGAAAAAAAATATCACCAAAAGAAAGTTCTATTTGTGTGAAAAAAAAATTATATAATTTTCATTTGGGTACGTTGCACGACCGAGTAATTGCTAGTTAACCACTAGCCTACAGGGCACTTCCTGCCCAGGCCAATTTCCAGCTTTCAGCACTGTCACACTTTGAATGACAATTGCGCAGTCATGCAACACTTTATCCATATGAAATGTTAATAATTTTTTTGTGACAGATAGAGCTTTATTTTGATGGTACTTAATCACCTCTGCGTTTTTTTATTTTTTCTTAAACAAACCAAAAAACCACTGAAAATTTTGAAAAAAAAAAAAGTTTTTTTTCTTAGTTTTTGTTATAAAATTTTGTAAATAAGTGATTTTTCTTCTTCACTGATGTGCGCTAATGAGGCTGCAGTGATGGGCACTGATAGGCACTGATGAGGAGGCACTGGTAGGTGGCACTGATGGGCATCGACAGGCATCACTGATGGGCACTGAAAGGCAGCACTCATACATGGCACTTATAGGTGGCACTGACTGGCACTGTTAGGCGGCACTGATAGACAGCACTGATGGGCACTGATAGGCGGCACTGATGGGTGACACTGAAAGGTTGTTTGTGGCGTTTGCTTTTATCAATTGGCCTGCCCAGATGGGCACTGATATGTGGCATTGATGTGGCACTGCTGGGCACTGAAATGTGGCACTGGCAGGTGGCATGGATGAGCACTGACAGCTGGCACTGATGGACCCTGACAGGTGGCACTGCTGGGGCTACACAGATCATCAGGGCACACTGATCACCAGTGCTCTGATGATCTGTGTACATGTCCCCTCCGCGGAATGCCGATTACCGGCTTTCCTCTCCTCTGTCAGCGTGACACCTCGTGAGGAGAGAAATGCCGATAACCGGCATTTCCCTGTTTACATGTGATCAGCTGTGATTGGACACAGCTGATCACATGACCGAGCCGACATCTTTGGCTCTTTCCGTTGATCGGTGATCCGCTGTGTCTGAGGGACAGAGCGAACCGCCAATCGCTGCACGCCCCCGGAGCCGCGCATGCGCGGTTAGAATGGGAGGACTATAATATGATGTCCTCCCAGAACTATATGGCGGGCAGGAGGCGGTTAAAATCCTGCAGCTTCTCTTCTATATTTTGTTTGAATTTCTTTAGACTACATATCCCATGGTACCTTTGTGTCCGCAAGCAGTGATTCCTGTACTGACTCTGCCTCCTGAACCTCCTCTTCCTCTTAGCACCTCAGAAGCCAGGCTCTGTGAAATGTGTGACACAGCAGTGCCTACTCACAAGGCATAGTGAACATGTGTCATAGAAATAGTAAATGTGTGGAGAACTTCACAAAGTAAGTTTAAAAAACGTATTTTTGTTATTTTGTGGTGTTTGCTTTTATCAATCGGCCCGTTTACTATTTATATGACACTCCAACATAACAATGGTAACTGTTTAAAAAATGGAGGTAGATTAAGTCCTCATGCACACGGGATGTTTTTACAGCGGCTGTTTTTGGCTTTTGACGTTTTTTTTCTACAGCTAGTAAACCCCCCAGCATGTTATCCTATGTGTCCATACACACACAGACTGTAATCAGAGTTTTTTGGCTGGGACGTTTTTTGGCTGGAAAAAAAACCCAGGACTAGTGGGTTTCCAGAGGAGTTTTTTTTAGCTGTAAAAACGCTCTAACGCATCAAAACGCGGTTAAAACTCCACAAACCGGTGTTTTTGGACTTTTTTTTGACAGAAAAACAATTGGGGGGTCAACAAAAATGCAAAAAAACACAAACGCAGCTAAACGCTGCAAAACGCTAATGCAAAAACGCTTAAAAAAAGCACAAAAACTCAGGTTTTTAATTTGACTTTACCCAGCTAACGTTACCAGCGTTATCAAAACACCCTAAATCCCGGGTTCATATATATGCAAATTTGATGCGTTTTGAACCGTATCCAATTCGCATGACATGTGGACCTACAGCCTTTTCATTGGGTGGCATTGAGATCCAATCCAAAAAGTAGGCAACGCATTTCGGGGGGTCCAAGAGCACAACCAAACAAGCTGCTGAAAACCCTATAATTCATACTGGAAAAAATACCATTCTAGGTCCAGTTCACTTTTGGTTTGTTCACATTGTAGTCAGTCAAGCCCCCTGATGAAGGGGGAGCTCTTGGACCCCGAATCGCGTTGGATACTTCTTGGATTGTATCCTTGACTTTTAATGCAATAAAAGTTGCATCTGGACTTCTTAGCAGTGGTGTGGCGCTTCAATTTCAATTCTCGCTACATTACACTACAAGCCAGGGAGACTGTGGAGATCCTCTGGGGTGTAAAAGCCGCCTACCCAGGATCCAGATCATTTACACCAACATCAGTACCTTAAGGTTACCCTACGGGTCCAGAATTATCTTTATACTTTCCTCAAAAATCAAGACAAGGGCAGGGTCTGTACTGGACGTGAGGATGCCACAGACAGTCTACCGCCGGACCATGGGAGAGCGCCCCCTGCTGGGGACCGGTGGATTAGGTAAGTAAATCTGCTTCTCCTCTCCCTTAGACAAAACAGGCAATTAACCCTTGCAGTGAGGGGAAAGCAATCCATTTTTTTTCTGCTCAGAGCTGGGCTTTAGGAAACTTATATACACACAGGCCCGGACCAAGGGGGTGCTGGGGTGGGGTGGGCTGTGCCCCCTCAGATTTTAGTTATGAACCCCCCGATCTCTTAAGAGTGCATCCATTAATCCATGCTACTTTATGGGGACAATTGGCAAAGGAGGGGGGACTCTGATAGGAGCATTTGATGTAAGGGGGCACTCTGAAGGGGGAAAATGATGTAAGGGGCACTCTGATGGGGACAGTTAATGTAAGGGGGCACTCTGATGGGGGAAAATTATGTAAGGGGGCATTCTGATTCGTACAGTTAATGTAAGGGGGCACTCTGATGGGGGAAAATGATGTAAGGGGGCACTCTGATGGGGACAGTTGATGTAAGGGGGCACTCTGATGGGGGAAAATGATGTAAGGGGGCACTCTGATGGGGACAGTTAATGTAAGGGGGCACTCTGATGGGGACTGTTAGTGTAAGGAGGCACTCTGATAGGAGCATTTGATGTAAGGGGGCACTCTGATAGGAGCATTTGATGTAAGGGGGCATTCTGATGGGGGAAAATGATGTAAGGGGAACACTCTGATGGGGACAGTTAATGTAAGGGGGCACTCTGATGGGGGAAAATGATGTAAGGGGGGCATTCTGATTCGGACAGTTAATGTAAGGGGGCACTCTGATGGGGACAGTTAGTGTAAGGGGGCACTCTGATAGGAGCATTTGATATAAGGGGGCACTCTGATGGAGGAAAATGATTTAAGGGGGCATTCTGATGGGGACAGTTAATGTAAGGGGGCACTCTGATGGGGACAGTTAGTGTAAGGGGGCACTCTGATAGGAGCATTTGATGTAAGGGGGCACTCTGATGGGGTAAAATGATGTAAGGGGGCACTCTGATGGGGACAGTTAATGTAAGGGGGCACTCTGATGAGGACAGTTAATGTAAGGGGGCACTCTGAGGAGAGGAAGCAATAGATGTAGGGGGGAACTCTGATGAGGACAGTTGATGTAAATGGGCACTATAATGGGGACAACTGATATAAGAGAGAGGACTCTTATAAAACCCCTGATGTAAGGGGGAACTCTGATAAAGATTCCTGATGTAAGCAGGACCTCTGACAGGAACACCAGGTGGCACAGATTCTGTTTAATCATCTCAATCTAATGACAGCCTGATACATACTAGCATTCCCTGTTCACTCCTGAACCACCCCTGCACTGCCTGTCACACATTACTTCTGGGTTCTCTAGGTTCAGTGGTACAGAAGTGTGCCAAGTGAAAAGGGAATACTGATTCCCTGCATCTCTGTCACACTATTGACATTATGCCCCCCTATTTTTTTTTTTTTTACTGCTCCCCCAGATCAGATCAGATCCCTGTATACACACAATGCAAGACATACTGAAGAATACATTTTGTGTTCACATACATTGTAGCAAAATGTCAAAAAAACGAAATCTCTTTATTCTGCATTACAAAACCATATCTGTCTGTCATGTACATTGCATGCCGCAAACATGCTGACATTCGCCAAGGAACATCCGAAGTATATATGAGCAGAAAAGAAGCATGCTGGGATATGTAGTACCACGGCAGTAAGGAATCGCAGGCAGGGCATGCTGGAAGTTCTAATTCTATAGCAAGCTTACTACACTTGTTCTGCAGATAGCAGGGCGGGCTGGTAGTTGTAGTCCACAAGCCCACAGTGTGCACAGCTGACTGATGATGATGGGAGTTGTAGTTCCACAGCACCCCTAAACCAAAGACTATCCATGCCATGTGTGCGGCAGGCCATGCTGAGACTTGTAGTGCCCCAGGCTGATGGAAGAGAATGCACACACATATACAGGCTGGTACAACACGGTGAATGATGCCATTGGCCTCATACATGATACCTGATTGTTGTAGCAGATCCACAGTCCCCCACACACAGGAAGTTCAAGTTGTAGAGACAACAGAGACTGCGACTGGCTGGGAGATGACAAGCCGCATCACTTCCTACTTCCATCACGCGGGATTCTGGGAAGTGCAGTTTTTCAGTCCGTTAGCTGGATTGCAATTCTCTGCTGAAAGATAAATTCCAGGTTAGGATTATTATTATACAGGATTTATAGAGCGCCAACAGTTTGCTCAGCGCTTTACAAAATAAAGGGAGACAATACAGTTCAATACAAGAGGGTTAGGAGGGCCCTGATCCTGGGAGCTTACAATCTAAGAGAATTACATTTATATTGCAAAATATGCAAAAAAAAAAATTGCAGTTGATTAAAAATGACGTCTTTTAAATACCAAATCTCCCCCAACAACACACATGGTAACCAGTGAACAATCATACTGTAATACTGAAATATCTCACCATTGGAATGTACAATTTGTGGACATTTCTGGATTTTTTTTCCCTTCAACTGTAGCAGGGCCGCCATCCAGGGAGAAGACTGAAGCATTGGGCTGATGAAGGGCGCATATCATCAAACCCCTCACAGCATTTGGGATTACATTCATTTATACATAACATAGTTACATAGTTAGTCTGGCTGAAAAAAGACAAAAGTCCATCCAGTTCAACCAAAAAAAATAAAAGACGACAACTTTAATCTGTCACAGGAAATGATTTATCAATGCACAGGGGAACTCTCACTGTGTTGTCATTTAATTGCAGGCTAGGTTCATATCTACAGGTATGCATTTGTTGGTGCATTTGCAGAATCACAGAAACGCATTACAATCCATTTAACCTCATTTCCTATGGCTCCCATTCACTATGCAGTTTCCTGCAATGAGTTTTTTTGTAAAGGTGCATGCACTTTTTTTTAACATGTAGCACAGTGCATTTTGGCTCCATAGACCAGCCTTTCTCAACCAGGGTGCCTTGAGGTTTCTACAGGGGTGCCTTGGCAATATGTCTAAAAATTGCCCCAAATTTGTATACAAGCCAGCGGGTGGAACAAACCTGCCTTACAAAATGTC